AGATTGCCACTCAGCCCACACTGTCCCCTCTCTGGACCCTCCCTTCTCAGCAAGTGATTCATTTGCCCAACCAAGCATCAAGGGAGACACCTGGTTGTTCTGTGTCCTTTATGGCCATAGGCCCAATCCATCACGGCTCTGCTTCACACACTGTGGCAATAGGGCCTCATCTTTCCATCTCTGCTGCAGATCAGAGCCCCAACTGGACCTCAAACTGGCCTGGTCCTTCACAAGGGCTCTACATTTGCAGTGAAAGTTACCCTTGGGGAATCAAGACAGGACCATGTCATGTTCCCAGCCCTCCAGCTTCCTCATCACATTTGGCTTTTACTTTAAGCTCCTCCCTAGTTCTTTTTCCAGCCCATCTCTGTCCCAGTGGCCAGCCATCACAAGTCCTTCTATACTAATTCTTCTCCTGTCCTATTTTTCTCCTAGCTCCTACTATTTTCTGGTGTGCATCTTTTTGTTCATCACCAGAACATGAGCTTCCACAGAACAGAGGCCTTTTGTGTCTTGTCTACTTCCTGCCAGGTCAGAGCTTGGCATCTGGTGCACATTTATTAAATATTTGTGGAATGCTTGAATTCCAAATTTCCTGCCTGTTGTTTTCTTTGTCCTGACATCTTTCCTTATCATGGGCTGGTCTGTTAAGTAATATTTTATGACTGTGCACCTTATTCATAAAAGATGCTACACAGTGTGTGATTCACTTATTTAAATTCTAGACTTTTGACTGTGGCTTCTGACTCAAACGCTGCAGGGGAAGGAAAACTTTCAAATAACCAACCACACATCTCCTGAGGCTTCTATCAGCTCAATGACACACATGAATAAAAGCCAATACACAGAGATGGTGCTTTTATAATTTAAACACCTAAAGAGCGTTAACTTTTAATTCTCATGTGACCCTTTAAGGATGGAATTATTATTGTCCTCATTTCGCAAATAGGCCAAGTGTATGAGTTTTTTAGTGCTGTGTAACAAATTACACAACCCCCATTTACTAGTGCATGGTTCTGTTGGCCAGAAATCTGGATGGACTCTACCCCCCCCCAGCCAGGGTGGCATCGATCAACATGGAGGTATTGGAGGGGCTGGCTTGTGTGGGGTTTCTCTGGGCAAAGCTCACTTGTGGGCCCCTGCTAAGGCCTACTCCTTGCTCCTATGATGCCACATTCCCCACGGTTCTTGCCACATCATCAGTTTGCTCTTTCTACTTAACCGTTTTTATCCACAAGCAGAGATGGCTGTTATTTCTCCCACCTCAGTGGGACAGGAAACCTCTCTGACCCCCTTGCCCGCGCTGCTCCAGCCCCATTTCTAGGAAGTGAAGTGCTGTTGCTCTCCTGTCTGTCTCTCTCTCTCCCCTCTTCTCTCCTGACTCCACATAGACCCTCACCCCTCCCACAGCAAGGATATCCTTCTGGCCTCTCAGCAGGCACCAGGCCAGTGACCAGTGTCCCCTCCTTTGAGCCCCTTCCTGCCTTTCCTTGCAATGCTGGGTTCTCCTGTCGTCCTCCTCCCTCGCCAGCACTGCTCTGCACCCACTCTGCCTCCTCCTTCTCTCCCCCGAGACCTCTCAAAGCTGCAGGGCCTGGGCTGCTTCTCTCCTGTAGTGAGCTCCTTGGTCTCATTTCACAGACCATATCACAATGCATTTAAGATGCTTAGATCAAAGATGCACCACAATGTTCAAGTTCCACCATAGGAGGAAGCAAACACTGATGCTAAAACTCTCAGATCCCATCACCTCCCTTTCAGATGTTCCTCTGCTCCCTGGCTCCTGCTTCCCTGGGTGATTATCACTATAGTCCTGGGCTTTGCCCCAGTTGGAGACCAGGAGCTGGTCACTGGCTAGAAGCAGCATGTGCTGACATATGCCTGGGAAACCCTCTGGGAACCACTGATAATGTTCAGGAATAGCTTTCCTGGTCTTTTTTTTTCCCCAGTCGGGACTCTCCTATGACTAGGAACTGGAGTCCATGGCAACCAAATGTGGAAGCTGCTACCCTTGGCAGTAGGGGCTTCATGGGGTTCACGATGGTGTCTGTTCCACACATCAGAGGCAGAGATGCTGCGGCTAGAACATGGCTCATCCTTTCTGAAACTTCCAGTGACATTTAACCCCCACTATGAGATGTTAGAGTGGGGCAGGTGGGCACTCTGCCCTAAGGAGAGTTTGGATTCATCCACTTGTGGTTGTCTGCAGAGGGGCTGCTGGACAGGCCAGCTGGATGGGACTCTCTCTGTGTGAGAGAGACCCCTGCACCACCTGGGGGCTCAGCCACCACCAGATGTGGCACCCCAATCTTGGACTAAAGCCACAACTCAGAACAAATTTCTTTACCGCTTCCCTACCTGCAGCACAGTGTTTTCAGCGATGGGCTAAGATGGGGAAGGAGGCTTGAGTCTGTGTCTCAGCCCATGGACAGGAAGATGTTGGAGAGAGACAGATGACTGGATTTGGGAGCAAAATCCTAGGAAAGAGGTGAGGGCAGAGAAGGGGGGCAGATTAGAAATGAGGATGAGTTTTCTGTTGGTTCTAGAGAAAGGAAACAGTATCAAAACCTCTGCTGACCATGGGTCCTTTGTATAGGAAAGCACTGCGCAGCTCCATGAGAAGTACCCAGTGTGTCATTAATTGGTCTGCCCTTCCTTCCTCCCTCCCTCTCTCCCTTCCTTTCTTCCTTTTTTTTTTTTTTTTTTTTTTTTGTTCATCCTGGGGAATTAAACCTAAGGCCTTTGAACTGAGCTATCCCCAGTCCTTTTTAAAACTTTTGAGACAAGTCTCACAGTGTTACTGAGTTCAAATTCAGAATCCTTCTGCCTCAGCCTCTCAGGGTGCTGGGAATACAGGTGTGCAGCACTGTATTTGGCTTCTTTATCCTTTCCATTCAATAGAATTGATACAGGTTTAAGGGATAGGTCATTTCAAGGTTAGGATTTTGATTTATTTCCAAGTCAGCAAAGAGTCCTTCTGTTTTCCCCTGTGCCCGCAGAACGTAGAACAGCACGTTCTGAGTGAAGGGTGTGAACAAAGGTGTCCGAAGTTCCGTGGGGGAATTTGTCTGGTTAAGAACATGAGCTTGAAACCAGGCAGGCTGTACTAGGCCTGGGCCCTGGGGTGCCGGAGGGTGGGGGGCTGTTCCTGTTACTCCCCTGCCTCGTCACCTTCCTCCACACAGGGCTATGCTCAGGTCCGGTTACCCTAGGTTCAGTCTGGAGCTCTCCTGCCCCTGTAGCTACTTTTAAATGTCAGTCACCAGTCTTTGTAAGAATTTTGTGATACCCTGGAATGCGGATCTTCAGACTTCAATCTCCTTAGCAGTGCAATTCTTAAAAATTCAATGAAACCTAACATTTCTTTATTTATTGTACCAGGGATTGAACCCAGGGCCTCAGGGATGCTAAGCAAGCACTCTCCCACTGAGCTACTTCCTCAGCCCAACCTCATTTTTTATGGTATTATTTTCTTCAGAGAAAAAAATATGAAGATGTTTACAGAGTGTTTTCAAACTAGCAGTGTTTAAAATGTCATGTTTGATCCCTTTCTGGTGGAAGGTGCAGAAATGAGCCAGTTAAAAGAATCCACTCCAGAAACTTCCACCTTAGCAACATGGGGCATAGGTATGAGCTCACATACCTTCATGAGTGCTCCGTTTACGGGAGTGTCATGTCGGGCTTAGCCTCCTCCTGCTCAGCCTAATATCCTCTCCCCATATCTAGCCAAGATGGGAAGCAAAGGAGGAAGAGAAGCTCCCCAAGTAACAAGGAGGAAGAGACGCTCAAGTTACACCGCACTTACGGGGTTTTCTAATGCAGCACTGTAAGGGGACGATACACTCCCACTGTCCCTCTATGGCCATAACTCCAGTTGCTGCTCCAGGAGAAGCCTTGGCTATGGTGTGAAGGCCCTGTCCTATAATGTCCCAGAAGGTTCATTGTAACAGCAGTGCTGTGGAAGAGACCACTGTAAAGTGGCAGGAGGGTGTGGTTGTTTCCCAGCTACTTCAGATTTCTTTCATCCCTGATGTTACTTCTTTTCATTATTAATTTTTTCCCAGTTCTCACACAATTTAATGAGTTGACTTAATAAGAGTCAATGGAGATGGGCCCTCTGGCCCCTCCAGGACAAGGATAGTCACAAAGAGACACAGCTCTGCACCCCTCAGGTTCCCCTGGTCTCTGTTCTCCCAAATGAAACATCTGTTCATAGCCATGGGGACCTCAGACTAGGGTCTGCATAGCAAAAGGTGCTAAGTCCAAAAAGGCTATCAGGGCACTAATGTTCATTGGGATCTTACGTGTGTCATTCTCCAAAAGCCACCAGTCAGCTAAATGCAGTCACAGCAGCCCTTAGTGACTTCACAAGAGGCTGCCGAGCCTCTCTCCAGGGCTTCTCAAAATTGAAAAATGCTTCAAGCGGTGGAAGACAGCCCCGCCCTCTGCATCATTCAAAAGAGAACTGGGCAGCTCCTGCTTCTTGCATGTAAACACTGAACGGCAGTTTTCAAAAGTCAGAGTGCCATACCTTCATCCAAGCACCTTGGGAGATGCTGATTTTAGAACCCTTGGATTTTTAAAGGTCAGAGGAGATACAGGAAAGAGCTTGCACTGAAATCAAGTTAGCAGGGCAGAGCAAAACCCAGATGCCTTAGAGAATTAGCCAGCATCTTGCCCTTTCCCTCTTGGGACTTTGCTGCACTCCTTACAAGTTTCAGTGTGTATTTGACATTCAAATGCACATGAGATTCATGCATTTTTCAGTTGTTCCCAAGTTCCCTTAATAAGGCATTTCCCCAGTGCAGCCAATCCCTGGGCTACAGGCATGTGGGGTCAGGCGGGCTGTTCATTCCAGAAGGGCGGTGGAGACCCTGGGAACCAGACCAGCAGGGCTCACAAGTATGAAGAGAATGTCGGGAGAGGAAGTGGCCGCTCTGAGTCAGCATGAGTCATCTCGTCCCAATGAGAATGTAGGCTGAGGTGTGTGCGCCTTTTTTTTTTTTTTTTTTTTGGTCGTAATCGTGTGGACATCATTGGGAATGGGGGGAACTAAAGTGACTGTATGGTGGCTGCTTTGTAAGTTTCAAAGCAACAACAGCAGCTGTGCCTGAGCCCGTGTATGCCTTGGGGACAGTCACAGCTCAGTTCCTGAGGAGGTGGAGCCCTCAGCTTCTCCCTGGTGAGTATGTTTCTGACATTTTCCCATGAATTCTGCATGTGCTGCAGGGTCTGAGCTGTGTCAAAGCTGTTGTGTCCTGGGGTGGACACTGTGTTTCGTTTCGTTCCGACTTTGCAGATCTGTAATTTTGATAAGTGGCTCCCTTTGCCCTCACCCTCATAGCGACTGTTTAAGCCCGGCTCTCTGGGGAGCTGCCAGCCGTGCACTGGGGAGCGTGGGTGCTCTCTACACTGTACACCGTCTTGGAACAGATGGAAGAGATAGCGGTTCTTGACTGGAAAATGAGCTGCCAAGGACTCCTTTCCAGAAGCCAGTGGTGGAGCTTGGAGAAGGAGGTGGGTGAAGCTGTGCTAACCCAGGGCTGCTGAGGTTGAGTGAGCTTCCGCTTCTCCGCGGTGGAGGAAAGAGTCCTGAGCCCTTTCTGGCCGCCTGGTCTGAGCGGCCCATCTGAGCTGCCTGACTTTCCGGCTTCAATGCCAGAGAAGCAAAGACAAGGCAGATCTTTGGCTTCCTTCTCCAAATGTGCATGAATCACCCCAGGAGCTCGTTTTATGTCTTTTCCTTCCCCCGAATGCTGAAAATCACACTCAGTGGCAAAAATGAGAATGAAAAATATTCTGAGGGCTAGGATGGGGGACTGGAAGGAGGATGGCTGAGGATGGGCTTGTTTGAAGTGATTGAGATCAGACTTGACCTTGGTGGCTGTTTCTCAGAGTTACTACTCTGATGGAGGTTAGCTTTACTGTCAGGTAAAATACAGGAAACATGCTTAAAATGTCGTTCTGGTTACTGTAAATGAAACGGTTAAAATGTCATAAATACTTTATGATAAACATTTTTTTAAAAAATTTGCTTAAAAAGCAGCACCCCAGCCAGCAGGGCATGACAGGGAGCTTTTTTAGTGCTGGCATTTGAGTGTGTGGGCTTCCTGGGGTAATGAGTCAGCACTGCTTTCTATATTTGGGGCAGCTTTGACCCCCTCCCCCAGCATAGCAGGGGTCCCCCAGCCCCCAGGGCTTGGCTGCACCGCTGCCGTCTTCTGTTCACGGCAGCATTGAATGTCACTTCAGCTCAGGGGATGAGCTCTCAGCTGTCTCGGCTCCTCCAGGCTGCAGCTGGGACCACCCCCCCTTCCAAGGACTGCCACTGTCAGAGACACACGTTTGGCTTCCTCGGCATCTCCTTTGGCTCTGGTTGATGACTTTTAGGTTCTGCTTTGAGGAACTGGTTGGACAGTTTGTTAAATGCAAACCACCCTGTTTTGGCAGGGCCAGGGTGCCCATAGCTGCAGCTGCCCCCAGCATCCTGGGCTGATGCCCTGCCTCCAAAGTCACAGATGCCCAGGGGTGAGGCAGGAGAATCGGGCATGGACTTGAAAGCTGGCATTCTGCTAGTGACCGGCCATGTGGGAAGATTCAGCCAGTTTAACATCTGAGAGTAAGGTTCTGAGGGGAAAACTTCCCCAGCGCCTCACTTGCTCTTCTTAGAAGCAGTGAGAGAAAGGTTGAAAGAATTAAAAAAAAAAAAATGAATAGCTGGGGCTGTGGGTGGGCAGCTCAGGGTAACTATGGAGCTGAGTGGCTCTGTCCCTTTTGGGTTCTGTTTGCTCAGCATTGTTTTTCTGTGTTGAGATAACCATGGGTGGGGTCCACCCTCCAGATCACAGGCCTTGCCACACCCTGGGCCACAAGCCTTGGATGGCGCCATTTGAGGGAGGCTCGGCCCCCAGGATGATGGAGCCTCCAGATCATGACCCAGTCTCAGGGAGTTAGTGCCTGCCTAGAACTCAGAGCAGAGGTCTGATGTAGAAGGGATTCATAAATATTATTAGTTACTTGGTCTTCAGTCTCCTGGCCTTGAAGGCATTTGGTGAGCTCTGGATTAGTTAGATCATTTTAAAAGGATCCTGATGTTCCATGGTCAGCAGGGAGGGTTCCTGAGGGCTGCGAATCAGCTCTGCAGGGCAGACACCAGCTCTTCACAAGGCGGCAGGCCAGCCCTGAGTGTCTTTTGGTGAGTCACCTTTGTAAGTGCCAGAGGAATGCCACCTTCATGGAGATGAAACTACAAAGGCAAGCTGCAGATTACAGTGGGTCCCAGGGTATGCAGACCACACTCTAGTTCCCATCCCAGAGAAGGTGCTGGTCCTTTTACAGGTCCTCCCTGTGGGGCCTGCCACTCCTAGGAGTGCCACTGGATGAGCATTCGAGCTGGCTGCTTTTGGTCTGGACATTGGCTGTGTTCTTCCATGGAGGATTCAGGCAGTTGTGTGGATTCTGGGACTCGAGTCACTTCTTACAGGAGAGACAAGCTAGAGGAGAACCAACATGCCAGCCTCAGAAAGAGTTGTTTCATAAGGCAAGCAGCAAGGTCACCAATGGAATGAAAACAGGGCCTGTCTGAACAGGCTCTGCCGCCCAGGTGTTTCCAACTATCAGAGGGGCACAGTCCGGTGTGGCTGCAGAGAGTGGTAAAGAGGGATGCATTTCATGGTGGAAACTAGCACGTAGTTTAAAAGGATATCTACTGTAAAAGGAAAATGCCTCCAGTATGGTGACATCAGGAAGTTGTCCAGGGTCCTGTTGTCATGGTGCCCTCTACCCAGGGAACTGCTGGTGACTTGGTGATCCTACCTCCCACTCCCTGCATGTCACAGTGGGAGCTGGGCTCTCAGCACCTCTTGCCTAGCTGTGTCCCCACCACTGGCAGCCATTTAAGGCATTCACCCCTGTATAGGACGAGTTCCTTAAATTCTCAGTGTCCCACCCTCTTCATTGTGAAATGAGGGTAATTGTACCAGCCTTATGAGCCTTGTGAGTTTGTGGTTAGTACACAACTGTGAGGGACAAATTCACTTGTTCAGGGGTGGAACTGGGCACTTTGGTATCTACATGGGTCCTTTTGTCCTTAGGAATCCATCAGGAGTTGATTCTCAGACTCAGTAGTGAGCTTCCTCCTGTATCCCCAAGCCCAGAGCAAGTCTTGCATTCTCAGAGGATTAATGGTTAGGCAAATAGGGAATGCTCCTTGTTTGTCTCCAGGGAACCTGGGGTCCTGGATGCCGTACTATTGTTGCTGTCACCAGCATCATAACAAAAGGTCAGCTCCCATCTGTTCAGCCCCAAGCACACAGTGGTAACTTATGTGCACTCTTTTGACACCCTCCAGTGTCCCCAGTGATCACAATGGGAAGGAAGGTCACTTGCCTCACTCAAAGTCCTAGGATTCTCACACACAGCAGCCCCTTCCAAGATGCACAAGTGACAGGGAAGTCCCTCATAGACACTCGGCGCAGGAGAAACCAGAATCACAGGTGACCAGCAGGGCTTGTGTGTAATCCACACGGGCAGGTGGCAGGCAGCGCAAGGGCACAGCCCAGTTCTGTGTGAGCCACCCAGATCCTCGTTATTTGAAAATCATCAAAATATGAGGAGGTGACTCATATTGAAAAAGTTAAGTAAGAAACACTTAAAACTAGACCAGAGTGAGTATGGCGTGGCCTCTGCTCATCAATTCCAAAGGTGACATGCGGGTGCACAGCTTTCTGAAAAAAGGCAAAGCGTCAGTCCAGCCCACAGATCCTTTGGATGGCTATGCTCTCAAGGTGGTTCCTATCAAACCCAAGGTTCAGATGCTCTGACGACCCCACTCTGGACAATCAGGCTTTCAGTGCTGAGACTGCATGTTGATAGGTGATAGATGGTGCTGCTCTGTGTGTGTGTGTTGGGCTAGGGTGGTCACTATGGTGTCCCTGTAGTGGTCATTCATGACCTTAAGGATCCCTCTTTGCCTGCTTGGCTGGGCCTGGGGGTCAGAGACTCAGAGCCCTAAAGATTCTAGAAGGTTCTGGGGATCATAGAGCTCAGGCAAGGAAAAGCCAACAACAAATTGGCAGGAAGTTGGGCCCAGGAAGTTGGCAGGAAGGAGAAGTGGGCTTGGCTGCTCTCAGAGGATTCCTTCTGATGAAAACATAGATGTCACTGCATCTGGTGTGATCAGAAAAGCTAAGGGCGGTGGCAGATCGCACCACTGTGGTTTTTCTGCTCATCTTCTGCTTTCCACGCTGATTACCCTGAAAGTGAACACTTCTGCCCTTCCCCCACCTGGTCTTTTAAAATATTGTCATACTAAGGGCCTGGCATTTATTTAATTCAGTGGTTCTGCAAACTACTTCACAAGCACAAGGTCCCAAGTTCAATCTCTGGTAACAAGAAAAAAAATTGTCATACTAAAAATACTGGAATTTTTAACAAAACGTCATTTTAGCTTTTCTCAATGGACAAGGGACAAACTATGTGAGGGGTGCATGGGTGTTTCTGTATTCAGGCAGACATTAAGGCAAATTTAAGCAGCAACTTCAAAAAGAGTCAGGCGTACTTGCTGTCACACAGAAAAGGGGTTCTGTTCCCTTGTTTGTACTTTTCTCAGATAGAAAGCAAGTTGTACAGGGCAAGATCAACAGGGGAAGGAGGGAATTAGGAGGAAAGAGGTTAAGCCTCCTGGATATTAAGCCCATGGTGGAATAACAGCAAACTCCCTCCTTGGAAGCCTATAGCATCTTTAGGAGTCCTTTGGCCTTGGCTGTGCTGACAGGAAACAGGGAATGTGACTGCCTCTGTTCCTCAGTCATTGAGCAGGCTGAATTATGAACAGACTCCACGTCCTTGGAGCCAAGAGCCACAAGGCTCTGTGTCTAATGGCAGCTGGGCCCTGGAGCCAGCTCTGGAGGTTTCCTGGACAGAGGACATGTCCTGACACAGGAAGCACTGGCGGGGAGGACAGCATGCCAGAAAAACAGGCACAGCTTCAGAGGGAGGCTCAGCTTGAACCGAGTCTCCACGGTTTCCTATGTGGGCAGGTGCACTGCTCTAGGTGAGGGGTGTCCTAGGCAAGGATGCTTCTGTCCCCCGCCTGTCCTCTGGGCACTGACAATAGCCCTACAGTATGGCGAGGCTGATATCTGGTAGCCCAGGTGCCCACTTTCACTAACAGCAGGACCT